TTTTGATGCAGTGTGGCAGTGTATTCTGTAATCCACATCCATAATTTTAGTATGTACTTGCCACCTAGATGATATTCTGCAAATGAAAACAAGCTTATTAATTGTTTTATTTGACACCTGTCATGTCGTTTTGTCACAAGCCAGTACTATAAAAATCAGTTAACTGTGACTTTTGCCTAGGGCAGCAGCTTCTCTGTGTTGCTAGCAGCCAGCAGTGTATGGGAGCATCCTGTTCGAGGAGCATGCTCTCCCGCTGCTTTCAGAGAAGCTGACTGGAGGAACACATTCAAATAGATTCCTAAATAAATAGATAATATACTGTCTGATAGATAAATGTGTCAGTGGTAGGTATCCATTCAGACTGGTATCAGATGTCGTCATAAGGAAGCGTAAGCTATGAAGGTGATCAGTGTACTTTAGAATTGATTAGGACTTAGTTTTCTATAACAATATGATTTAACCTAAAAGAAAAAAAGGCTTAAAAGATGAGGTATTCCAGCTGTAAAGAAAATGGTACCTCTAAAATTATCCCTCTTATGCATTTATGCAGGTATCTAAGACATATCAATTACAGCTGCAGATACCAAATTTAAGAAGAGACATACAGAAACTCATTGTTTCAAAAAGCATGTAAACTTTGCTACTTCATTGGGATGAAAAGTTAGGTATGAAGCAGCAATGTGCACTTCCAGCCCAGAAAACCAGTCATATCCTGGGCTGCATCAAAAGAAATGTGGCCAGCAGGTTGAGGGAGGCGATTCTTTTTCCCCCTCTACTCGGCTGTTGTGAGATCCCACCTGGATCCAGCTCTGGGGTCCCCAGTAGAAGAAAGACATGGACCTGTTCGAGCAGCTCCAGCAGAGGCCACAAAAATGATCAGAGGGCTGGAACAGAGGGCTTCTCCTGAGAAGAAAGGCTGAGAGGACTGGGCTTGTTCCTCCTGGAGAAGAGAAGGCTCTGGGGAGGCCTGATTGCAGCCCTTCAATATATCAAAGGGGCTTATATAAGAGAGACTGTGAGAGACTGTTTACCAGGGCCTGCAGCAACAGGACAGGGGGAAATGGTTTTAAAGTGAAAGAGGGCAGATTTAGGTTGGACATAAGGAAGAAGCTTTTTTGTGATGACTGGAACAAGTTGCCTGGAGAAGTTGTGGATGCCTCATCGCTGGAAGTGTTCAAGGTCAGGTTGGATGGGGCTTTGAGCAACCTGGTCTAGTGATCAATGTCCTTGCCCACGGCAGGTTTTGGACTCGATGCTCTCTGGAGGTCCCTTCCATCCTAAACCATTCTATGATTTGAAATCTCAGTAATCCTATTTTTTTTTTAATTGCCTGAAGTCCTCACAAATCTGAGGTGATTTTTGGAATTGGGTGGACCTTGGGAAATGAGAAAAATACAGCACATCTTCCACTTTCTGTATTTTGTCTTGATTCCTTTTCTGTGCTGTAAAAAAAAAAAAAAAAAAAAAAAAGTGATTTTTTGTAGCTGTTACACTTCTGTAGTGTTTTAGGGAAGACTCCTCTGGTCATTTAGTTTCAGTGCAGCTTTTTTGTCTTTTAAACCTGTAATTGGTTTACACTTATAAAATGTAAATTGTTATTGATTTCTCTGATGATCTCAGTTAACTGGCTCATTTCTTAAACACCTCTAGGACAGAAATGTGTGACAAATTAGTTTAAAAAGCTGTGATGATGTAGATGCAAGCTTGGCTGACAAGCCCAGATTTTATTTTCCCTCTTGTGTGTCTGATTTCTGCCATTGTAACTGTTGGAACTGGAACTTTGTCCTGTTTCCTTCCTTACATGCTCCTTTTTAGTTGGTTCACTTTATATAAAAAGGCTTTCTAGACAATGGCAACCTTTTGCAGGGTTTGGTAGTTTACTGTAATTTTTTCCTTCCTTGCCTAGCAATAACTTTTGCCTTATAATGCACCTTCCTGCAGAAATACACGTGAGCTGGTGTGAAGGACTCTGGTAGAGTGCAGGAGAAGACAGCGAAGGGAGGAGAGAGCTCAGACGAATGCGCATTCATAGCGCGTATTACGAGTATGTTTTCTAGAGTCCTGTTATTTTCATTAATGCCTCTGCCTGTAATGAAAAGGCAAATGAATAGAGATAGGTTGAATGGAAACAAATAATGGCCAGCATATGTTTTATTTTATTCTTCTAATTAAAAGATCAGTAAATAACAATAGGCAACTTGAGTCTTGTGCTCAGATTCATGGTTTGTATCAATTACATTGCTGTTTGAATATTGATTTAAAAGTAAGGAATGGAAAACAGCTTTAAACACAAGGTAAATGTTTTATATTTCTGCAAACAAGCAGTGCAATGCTGTTTGTTTTAAAGATTTATGTTTGTTACATGCTGTATAATACATCATGGTTTACTTGGGAGAAAGCTTGTCTTGCTGACACTTGCTTCAAAACTTGCAGAGATTCAGCTTCTGAATGTTTTTGGAAAATCATGGCATTGTCCACTGGCGCGTCAATGACTGTCTCGTGAATCAGCCTTCAGGTGGATTATCTATAGCCAGACTATCTGTTCAGATTATCTCTATTCTATATATTATTGGAAAATAAATTCTTATTCATAACTTTATTTGCCTGTTTTTGGTTAATATACTTTTCAGTATTTTCTCTCCAAAAGGCACGATGTCCAGTGAGCCGGCTGGCTGCATGTGTAGCTCTTTGGTGTCACATCCATTTGGATCCTGCTGAGACCTGGTGTCAGCCTGTGATGGCTGGGTCTCTGCTGCTGGATGCTGTTACGTGTTGCACAAACCCTCCGATATTGTCTGTACTTCCTAGTCCGTGTACAGGCCCATAAGATTTGCTGTGCTCTGCAGGTTATCATGTTCATGAGGCTTTTCATATCAAGTCTCAGGATTAAAAGGATTTAGCTTTAGCATTCTTTCTAAAAGCAGGTTTTAATAAAATCCAAGTTTAGGACACGTGTCCTAGAATGTTTTTTCACATCTGAGGGCTGACTGTGCTAAGCTTTTCTGATGCTGAGCCTTGACAGTAAGTACCAACCTAATGGAAGGGGGGATGGCCAGGAGGACACTGAGGATCACATCCCCCTCCTGCTGCTCCCATGGTTTGTGTACTTACCTTTAATGCAGCTACAGGGTATTCTGTTGTGTTGAACTGTTCTTAGTAGAACAACAGTAGAAAAATGCAGTGTTGTCCTGTGGATGCTCATGTCCCATGGCAGCAGTGGGTCAGTTCCGTGACCTGGAGACAAACAGTTTTGCTGGCCATTATTTGGAATATTAGGGTGTGTTTATTCGGTTTGGTTAGTGAGCTCTGAGAAATGTTTGAAAGTGTCTACAATTCTTGCAGACAAGAAGGGGCAGAAGCTTCGGTGTCGTGTCTTTAACAGACCAGTCTGTTGTATGGAGCTCGAGTCAGGCTTTCGGAGGTACATCAGCTACTGTTTGATTTAGCCCTCAGCTGGCTTCCTAATGAAATTGGTACTCATCTTCTGTTTGGGGCTTCTTGAAGGTAATCTCATTGTGATGTTGGTAGGAAAAACTTCATCCCTACTTCTTCAAGGTAAAACTTGGTTTCTGAGTGGCTTTGTACTCCCCTGTTACCCTGCCCTCCCTTCTGCACCGCGGGGAAGCCCTCCGGGAGCGGAGCTGTGAGAGCAGAGCGGTGCTTGCAGGGGGCTGGAAGCCCCAGGCTGCGTTGCTGAACCACACTTCACCCCTCAAACTGCAGGAAGTGGAGAGCTCTGTCAGGGACCATGGATGAAAGTAAAGTACTTAAGCCTCATTCCATAGAACGTGAGGTGTGAAAGAATAGTTTGCATTAACGCTCATCAGTGAGTGAAGGTGACTTTTGTAAGGGCAAGGCATGCAGCTCCTGTGTAATACAACTACATGATTTACATCTAGGGAAAAAACCCTTATTAGTAATTTACACTTTAAAATTAAAGGAATGCTTCTGTGCTGTATTTGACTTGGATACAAGACTTGCTGCATTAGATTGTTAAATATTGGTGTTCATCTGTTTTTAAATAGTATTGAACAGATTTTTAAGTAGTATGGAACAGTTTAAACTTTAGGGGTTGTAGAATTATCGGTTTGAAAAATAATACAACTGCTCGATAGAATCTTTTTCTATCATTAACAAAAGCAAACTGTGGATGAAAACATCACTAATATCCTTTTATGACATAGTGTAGATTTCAGTGTATCATGTTTATGGACAATGTTTCCAGATTTTAACCACACACAAACATTCTGTGCAGTGCTTGTATTTCCCATGTCTTCCTCTGACCATTATGTTCCAGAAGCCTTTTAGAAAGGCTGATGCTTGGTGCCTTTGACCAAGAAATGTAACAAAAGCTGAAATCAGGAAAGGTGAAATAGCACATCTCTGCACTCAGCCAGTGTGAAGTAAACTCACAGACTGGTTTGGGTTGGGAGGGACCTTAAAACTCATCCAGTCCCAGCCCCACTGCCTTAAGCAGGGACACCTTCCACTAGACCAGGTTGCTCAAAGCCTCATCCAGCCTGGCCTTCAACACTTCCAGGGAGGAGCAGCCACAATAATAATAAGTAATAAATGTCAAGTTTTTGAATACAGAAGTCAGAACATAGCGTTAGCTGCAAGTTTTGCAGTTGGAAAGGTTCGGATACAGTGTTTTCCAGAATAGCTTGTTCACAGATGAAATTGAAGACTGACTTTATAGGCACTGATTTTGTTAGATTGTGGCAACGTAGGAAGCCACAAAAATTTTAATCGCAGGAAGAATAAAATCCACAAATGCTTAAACATGTTTTTCCTTTTGTAACAGGTGATAAATCAATATTTGCATGAATCACTGATTTAAAGAACCATTAAATTCCCACTTTAATCTTCTAATAGTTTATTCTGCTACGGAAGAGTCAAAACAAGAAACATTATTGTGATGAAACAGTGATTGTTTCAGAATTAATCAACACCCATTTTTTAACGTCAAGAATGCTTTTCTTTTTATTTTGAAATTTCAGGAGCTCCAGTTTCAAAGACTTACCAGAGAACTGGAAGTGGAAAGGCAAATTGTGGCTAATCAGCTAGAAAGATGTAGGCTTGGAGCAGAATCACCAAGTATCGCCAGCACAAGGTACAAATCCCAATGACTTTACTTTCATCTGTCCCATAAATTAAAGGGCTTTTTAGTGGTGCTTATGTCCTACATACATATATTTTCACTGATGGCTGTTCACCTTCCATTAATATCTGAAGTATTAAAAGATGCAGATTTGCTGTAAAGAGTTATGGGACAGTTTAAAGAGGCCTGTCTAATAATTGATTACATTTTCAATAAAGTGTATGTAAAGCTTTAATTTATCTTTAAATCTGTTGAATTTTACTTTTAAGATTCATCCAAAGAGAAATACAGTAGACTTATACATATTTGTGTCAAATTAACAGTGCTAGTTAAATGCAGTAAGCCAATTACTATTTTTTTTTTCCTGAATTAACTATGTAGTTTCATACAACTTTTCTGAAATACTTTCTGTTGTTACATTTGGCTTCAGGGAACATCTTGCTCTAAGTGTATCGTTATCATATTTAAATAGTGTGAAACATACTAATATATTTCATACACAATGACAATAAATACAGCAAAACATTTTGTTAATATTTCAGCTGAAACTAGTATTGTGATTATTTAATTTTTTTTAAATTCCTTAGCAAACTTTTTAACTCTAAATGTGTTTGGGCACTCATTCATCTCAAGCATATGAAATGGTTGGTAGCTCTTGAATCTGAAGGCCTTGATAACAACGTGCTCTCTTATGAAACATTTATACCTGCATTTCAGGTTACAGCAAACTTCACGTTGGCAAGTGCATAGAGAGTATGATCTGAACTATGCTTGCCTATCTTACCTCGAGATCCAAATATTTCTCCAACTGTTGCTCAGATTTTGTTTTGGAAGCTTAAAAAGTTACATTCCTATGGAAGAATAAGTCAAAAGGTTCAGTTATTTTATGCCTCCAACCACCTTTCGTTCAGTCTTGAATGTCCGTTTTCAGTGAATTTGCCTAAGTAATACAAAGGAAAAGGTTTTCCTGCATCCCGAGTCCAGAGAATTTCACATAAAAAGAACACCAGAGTTAGCTTATCCCACAAATAATATTGTGTAGTTTCTGAAATAATGTCCAGTTACCTTCTACACAATAAGTGAGATCCTATATTTCTATTCAGTACTATCATTTACCAAGATGGAAAACATCATTTATAGCATCATGGAGTTATTTCTTCTTTTGGTTGATGCCTTATGGGTAAATTATGTTTATTTTAAAAAATTTTAAGTTTAAGGGGAGCTCATAAGTTGGTTTGTAGTATACTTTGGTGCAAATACATTTGTGAATTTAGATAAACTCTTCAAGCTCTCATTTTCCAGGTCATAGATTTTTCCCTAGTTATTAATAAAGTATTTTACACATTTAAAATAAAAGTCTAATTATATTCTTAGTTCTTACAGACACCACTGTATTCTGATCACTGTTCTTATTTTTCTAAGTTTTCTTATCCTGGCTGAGTCTGATCCTGTATAGATGAGAACGTTATGCTAGGTTACTTTTTTACTGAGGGACATGGGATAAGAACTCAGTTTAGACAACATGTTCCAAGATGTGTGTGTCCTTGGTTAATTTTTTGACTTATTCTTAAATGTAGATATCCTCTTTAAGAGATGTGTGAGAAGCTAAAAATAAAAATCTGAATTTGAATTAGATGCTTTAATTTCTTCACAACCAGTTACTTCCAGTGTAGTTAGAAGAGCTGTTGAAAGAATCAAGGTAAAGCAATCTCTTAGATTGTTTTACAATCTAAGTATCACAGCAGACACAAATATAGCAGCAAAATTTATAGCCAGAAAAAGGTACCTGTGTTTTCCCCAAACTAAGTGATGTAAATGTTTTGCTAAGGCCAACGAGAAATTAAATAAACATGAAAGGGGCATGGAGAAAAGATTAGGAAACTGAATGCTGTGTTGAGAGATCTGTCACAGGCAGCTAACAGCCTGCTCCCAGAAACACAAAGAAGTTAAGCACTTAGAGAGCAAGAGGATGTTACTCCCAGCCAGGTGGAAGAATTGTCCAACAAAGTCTTCTATTAAAAAAACAAACAAACAAACAAAAAAAGGTGGCAAGCAAAGCTAAAGCAGGAGATGCACACGCGTTTCATTTTGATCCTTTGCTCAAGTTTTCTGTCCCTGAGGAAATCAGCAATGCTTTGTTTCAAAGAGTGCTTCATTCTCCTTTAATGTGGTTAAAACGTCCAGGAGCATTTTCATTCCAGAGGTCCAGCTGAAGATTGACTTGACCTCAGTGGTGGTAGTGGTGCCTGTGATGTACCCGCATCTAAACTGGGTTCCTGCAAGGTGGCACTGACCTGGCAGTGGTGCTGCTTTACACTGACATCAAGTCACTGGTACTTTGGCAGTGACAGTGTCTTGGTGGTTGCAGCCTGGGCTCCAAACTGTTCTGTGTGTCAGTCACATCATTCCTCTGAGCCACCTCATCACCCAGTTGCACAAGTGCCAGCCCAAGGGAAGTCATGGTAACAGCTGGTGAAGGGGGGGGGTACCTTAAACCAGCTTAAACTTCTGCAGCTGGTTCATGTAGCTTCTCTGCTGGTGCTTGTGGCTGTGAGCCCAGGCACTAGCCCAGTACAGAATGCAGGCCATGCAGACCTACACCTGGATAAATCCATCTGGAGGTGGGCACTGGTGATCAGACTGTCACCTACGTGAGTGCACCTGAGAGGGACTCTCATTTCAGAAACGCGGTTCGTTCTGTTACTGCTCGTCCTTAAGAAATGTGTGTGTTGCTGTGTACCCTTGAACAAAGCAGAACAAACAGAAGGTGCTTGTAGTTCAGGTTTGTTAGTGTGTTGCCCACCTTTATTACAACTATATCGTAATTGCAGGCAACACACGGGAGTAGTTGACTGTTTCACTCTCTTAAGAGGAGTGTGAAAGATGAGAACAAGAGCAGATTGCAGATCCTAAGCCAATGTTTTATTGAAGATGGAAGCATTAAATCAGCTGCAGCCCTGGATTTCCATACGGCTTTATTTTTGTGTACCTGTAGGTTACTTCCCTGTTAAATTATTTTTTCTCATAATTATTTTTATAAATGGGTATTGTGCTCAGCACTTCTAAGATATTTCTTGGCATTCTATACATACACTTTGAAACCTCTTAAGAGCTTGAAATGATGCATGATTAGTGTTGCATGTAAGTGTTAAATATTTTTACCCATGTTATACACTAGGAGATCAGAGATGATAGACTGGGAAAAACAACGTGAGGTTTCAGTTGTACCTTTTTACTTTGGTGTCGTGCTATAACATGCACAGGTTTCTGTGGATAAGCCACTGGGCTGCTCAGCCTCCCATACACACAGACACAGCATTGCAGCTGACTTCCCACCTGTGGCGTTAAGGATCCAGTCCTGGGCTGCCAGATGTGGTGGAATATGTGCTGATATCAGTATGGATCAAGGGTCAGTAGTCAGACTCGCTGGATAAACCACATTGCCTAACCTCTCAGGTGGGAGCTGCCTGTATGACTCTCACAGTCGACTGATCCTTTTCATGAGTTACCTATTGTGTGTAACTCCTGAAAACTGGGTGGTATTGTGAACCAAAAGGCCTCATACGTAGTAATTTAGTTGTAAAATACTGCACTCAAAAGAGCAGCTTGCCACAAATACCTTAACAAAAGAAAAGTGCGTAAATGGCACACTAGACTTCATCAGCGTGCAAGCTCTTTTGGCAGTACAGTAAATGATAAAAAAAAAAACCCCAACACTTCAAGCACTGAACAGTCAGTTTGAATAATAACGTGCCCACCTGAAGTCTTCTGAGTTTTGTAAAAGGGAATGTATTCCCTTGCTAGTAGGATGGTTTGTTTTCTCTGCTTTTCCCAATGCCAACTGAAATACAGTGTGCACTTTAGCAGCAGAAAACATTCCAAAGTGATTCAGTAAAATGTTGCACTCTGATTGAACACCGTAAACTTTCTGTGAGGTGAACAAGTATTGTGTTTCATGGTCACACTTTTTTTTTCCTTATAAAATGGGAGATTGCTTATAAAAAGTGTAAACAGAGCAAGTAGTTTTGCTGGAAAGCCAGCATGCTGCCGTGTTAAGCTGCGTAACTTTTGTTCCACTTGAGGAGCAGTAACATGCCAGACAGTTCCAAACTGTGTGCCTCCGCCCCGTGCTCCAGGCATTCCCCGGCACACAGCAGCTTGTCCTGACAAGACTGTTCACAGTGAGCTGATCGGGGTGTAATTATCCTTACAGAAACTAGTTTAAATTTGTTCATGTGACATATCAGATATTTCGGCATTTCCAAAAAGTGTGTTTGAAACTGCTCCCATATATTGCAATATGTGATGTCGCCAAAGTTTTGTGGCAAATCATAAGCTCCCTAAGAGTTGCCTTTAGAATCGGGATGTGCTTTTGGGGCAGGAAGAGAGAGAAGGAATCACAGTAGTTTAAACTATTCATGTATTGGTTTGTGCTAATATTACACCTACTGAAATTTGCAAGCAAATCAAGAAAGGGCTACATTAAATTTAAAAGTAAGAAAAGTTATACTTAATTTTCTTTGCAGAGTTTCCATGTACAATAAAAGCAGGGTAGAATGTATTGGGCAGAATTTAGCTAAGTAATGAACGATTTTAAATCAGGTTCTCCTAGCTGATCATCACAGAGCGGCTGGAAGACTATTTTGGGCACAGATAGTCCGGTTGAGCAGAAATGATCATTAATTCCATCATTAGTAGCTAGCTAGGAACCACCTGCATGTTAGATGAAATAACTGGTCATCAGATCACCTGCCAGTTGCAGGTGCTGAACACTGGGAGAAGTACCCACCTCTGCCGCAGACTGAAGGAATCTCCTCTTGTTAGAAATTGGTCCATGCCATGATTGTTGTTGGTGTTACACTTCTTACTTAGTGTATTATATATCCGTAATCTGGCTGTAGAGTTTCTGTTCTCTACATTATAAATAATTACGTATAAAGAATTTATTTTATTATGTTTTAGACTGTAATGATATCTCGTGACCTTAATTTCAGAACTTGAGTGGACTGTGT